TGAATTGTGTCAGTGTAAATGATCAGAGCTTTAAGTGGTGCTATTTTTAATGTATCCATTCTCAGAATTCCTGCAGAGTGGTTATGAATATGTTTATATTATATGTAAAGTAATATTATTAATAAGCTTGGGACTTCTTAAAACAAAGTCTCTTCTGTGGTTATCATTAGAAGTCATCTGTGTAGAAATAAGACATTTTACTTGGTTTTATATGAGTTTCTGGTTCAGATACTCTTAACAATCACAAGCGTGTGCCTCTCAAATGCAGAGAAAGGCAGACCTGTTTAAAATCTCTTCCTTTTTACTGACTGCACAAAGGCAAAGATTCTTTTAAAAACAAATTAGTTTTACTGCTGAGGGCTTGCTAGAGAATATGGAACTGGATGAAGAATAAGCTTCTGAGTTAGAGGAAAATTGTGGTCTGAAGTGAAAATGTGTTAAGGTTTCCCATGAAGCAGGACCTTGCCAGACTGCACAGCTGCACAGTGCATCCTTGGGGAGCAGCCCATGAGCAGTATCTGCATGCAGCTGTCTTAGCTTTGCAGAAAAGCCATTTGACTAGTAGTGCATTGACTAAATATTTGGACTTCTGGCATTAAATTTACATCTTCCAGTGATTTTGCCACAAAATTTGCACCTGCTTTAGTCCTGCCTGCTATTTAGGGTTATTTCTACAGGCAGTTAACAGCAGTGAGTGAGAGAAGACGTGGCACAGAGAAGCAAGATGGATTTTTGTTCTTCAGGTTCACCTGCGACATGAAGTGAGTACATCTTGGCTTTCCTCACACCTGGAAGTGGACTATGGGAAACACTGGGATCAAATAAACAACAAGAAAAGAGTTCTGATCAGCCAAGTATTTAAGAATACTTCCAGTTCACTTCTAGTCAACTACTTCATGGAGGTAATCATGGTTGTTAAAGAGCARGACCTCGTTTCTAAGATATAACTCAAAAACTAAGAAAAAGAGTTCTCTGCTATGTGTTAATAATACAATACCCAGAGGTGGTGGAGTTAATTAAGCCCTTCTTGTAAGGAGCGCCTGTAAGTGTAAAATATATTGGTGGTCTCATGGAAAGAAGAGAAGAGCCAAGTAATTGGTCCAAAAAAGGGTGGGAATTTTCCCTTTTACATCCCCAGTGGATATAGCAAATGCATATTAAAGAAATACCTTTCTGTAATTGGTCAGCACGCAGGAAAAGCAAAAAAGTAAATGGCAACAACACAAAGCAGAGGCATTTGTGGTCACATCTGTAATTTCCCAAGTGTGTTGTCTTACGTAACTCTGAAGATGGGATCCAGTTCTTATTTATATTTGTTTCTCTTGTTTTCCAGTTYGTTGTGCAAGTCCCGGAGAAGCAGGTGAATTACAGAGCCCAGCTGCAGCACTCGCACCATTCCCAGGGTTATGCCCAGAGTAGCACCAGCTTCAAGGTGCAGTGTAATGACCACATGCTGTTTGTGGCTGGACTCCAGTGGAAGGTTGCATCCAGAAATGACCTTAAGAAGTGGGAAGGTGAAGTACAAATCATTTCCAGTCAACTAGAAAAGTATGCATGTAAAGAAGCTGCTGGGGTTTTGTGAAGTGGTTCTATGTGAGTGTCATAGAAATAATAGAAATATGGTTTGGAAGAGACTCTGGGAGATGCCTAGACCATCTTCCTACTCAAAGCARGGCTATTACTAACAGTATGGCACATCTGGTCTGGTTTGTCTAGCTGTCTTGAAAATTGCCAAGGATGGACGTTCCAGTGAATTGAATTGAGCTAGGATTGAATCAAYTCTTGTTTTAAAAATTTGGAAGCTCCTTTGTTAGTGTCTGTCATAAAACATTCATGAGCAAGAATGGATCATACTGCAATTTTTGGTGAATGTAATTTGATAAAGTTTACTGGTGAAATCTTAATGACTTGTCAGACRTGAGTGTTCTGAGCTGTTTAGAAACCATTTTCCAAAATAACCTACARATCTTCTTCAAAATGTATGTATTGCAGAATTTGTTTTCTAAATTGGCATTTGTCTAAGTGACTTTGATAAAGCCATTATCGTAATCCTGGGATTAGTAATTGCAGAATCAGGGTTCAAATAAAGGTTCAATATTATCTTGTAGAGTGGAACCCCCTGCTGGTACCCCGTGAGTACTGAGCTTCATAAAACTGCATTCAGTAGGAGCCCTTTTATGGATTACATAAGTTCCCAGCATCTATTTCCTTATGGACAATATGGGGATTTGGGCTATTGGATGAGAATGGGCTGATAATGGGATTTTACCCTCATTCCAAAACCCAACTTCTTACCACATTTCTTGAAAGGTTATAAGTTTTATACCTTGAAATCTCATTTATCTTTGCATTRAATATATCTTCTTTCCAGGTGGATTAAATATAGACACGCCATGGCTATATCTATATGCATCTCACAAACTAACTCAGCCTCAGGCTTCTGCTTATTTATTGAGTATGGAAGTGACAGCCAGGAAAATTGTCTCTATTGAAAATCTAGTAGTGGAGCTATTTTGTAAAGATCAAGGCAATGAAAAAGAAGGGAAAATTCATATTTACACCCCAGCTACCACATATGTGCAGGTTAGTACCATGATGCTTCCTTTTGTGTCCAGCTTTGTGATGATGCCCAACAGAGTTGTCATTATATTGGAATAACACTTGCTCAGCCTACTGCATGAAGTAGTTTGTTTGAGAAACTCTTGTCCTGTGTGTTAATAAGACAATATCTTGTCATGCCTGTGTTCATGTGTTTCCTGAGCTTGCACAAAGTGCTATTGCTCTTTCACCCTGGTTTCCTATGGGGGCATCCTTGGCTTGTCAGCACAATCAAAGCCTATTTATTGACTTGAAAAAACATTCCTCTTTGGAACAGGAGCTGATCCTTCCCTCCCTGATCCTAAGTCCCTGGTGTGAGAGGTCTACCGAGGTGTCTACAAATAACTAGCCTTCCTAAGGTCTGAATTTGAGCCAAAAAAATTCTTGGAGAARTAGGAAAATTGGACCAACACTTAAGAAATGTTTAAAATGTGTTCCCAGTGCTGTGAAACAACTAAGTTTTGTAGCTTTGCTTTTGTTTGATTTTAAGATGTGTGAAGAGCAATAGACAACCCCCTTAATTAAGAGCCCAGTGATTACAGCATTCATCTATGTGTGAGGCATTAGATTCTTGCCTCGGGAYAGGACACAGGATAGTTCAGTGGTTAGGAGGTAGTCCTAAAAATGAAAGGTTGTCTGATTTGTTTTGATTTTTGTAGAGTCTTTTGTAGCCTATACCATTAAATACAGATTATGAGAAACATTCTTGAATGAGAAATAATAAAAACTGCTTTATCAGCCAAGTTCTTCCCAAATACGTAATCTTTCTGTCTATCTCTGCTAAGATGGGATAAAAAAAGAGTAAGAGAAATAATTTTTTGGGAATTTTTTTTTGATAACCAGACTGTTGGCGCACTGTTTCTGGTAGTTCGTGTAATGATCGTCTCYGGGAAAATGCCTTCATTTCACCCCTGTACAGTGCTGTTACCAGAATAGGATTCTGTCTCTCCTAACTCAGGCAGGACATCCTGTTTCTGTTTGTTTTTCAGGCATCCACATTTAATCATCTTGGGAGGAATGTCCTGCGTAGCTATAGTGAAGTGATAACTCTGTGGAATCTGCTTGTGAAAAATGAGATTCTTATGGAGAATAAAGAACGAGACAAATTTTTCTRCTTTAAGATAAAGAGTACAAAACAGGAATTTAATTTCACAGTTGCCTATCAGAATCTGCCAGTGGTAAGAAAGAAGTACAAATGTGGTTTTTCTGACTTGGCATTACATGTTTTAGGTCTGTCACCTTTCTGAGAGATGTCATGGTTAGTGTCCAGGCCTAAACACCACTAAGGATCCTTGTATTTCTGTCCATTTTGACAACCTGCAAAGTTAAATTAATTTCATTAAAATAAATAAGTCAACAGCATTGTGCATTGCTGTTGAGAGTCCTTCTCACCTGTTTGGGAAGCCATCTACAGATAGAAATGCAGGGAGAAGAGGGCAGAGAGGAAATGTGGGCCTGAGAAGACACCTGTAGATGTGATTGCTTATTTTGATGCAGACCTAAAAGATTCTGCTAACAATCCTGAAGGTATTTTGCTTGCAAGTGTGCGTAGTAACAGGCTGGTTATATATGTAATTCAAGCCCCAGCATTGCTCCTTATCTATCATAATGTTTAAATAATTTCTACCTTGCTTGGCTTCTTCAGCACATAACTATATTATCAACTAGATGATCAACTTCAGTCAAATATTTTGGTCAGTTCTTAGTAGTATGTAAAATAAAATGAAAAAAAAACATATCAGATTATCTTTAGATGAGGTGAGTGGTGTACTACTAATGTCACTTTTAATCCYATATAAACTGAGATCAGGAGCAGAAAGGAGTAGTTGTGTGAAGAGACAGCCTCACTGTAGCCTGCTAAGCTGTGTGTCATTTCTGAATGTGAACCCAATAAATCTGATGCAAATGTCCTTTCTTCTCTTGGTTGCATGATTTGGGCTGCAGCCTAAAAAGGCAAACATTTCTGTGAAGGCTGTATGGACAGACCGTGAAAGTCTACCTGTGGTGCTGCAGTTTGAAGGACAGCTGGAAGAGCTTAAGAAGGAGAAGATGCTCTATCAGAAACGTGGAACTCTCCATTTTAGGTTCAGTAGCTATTTTTCTACCTCTGAGGAATATTTTGGCCTAAATTTAATATACATATTGATGCTCATGGGGAAAAAAATGTACAAAACTGAAGTACTACATTCACAGAAGTTGTGTGTCCTACTCTGGTCTAAGCTTGCTCCAGCCCACTGACTCCATGGGTTGTCTGTCTAAGTCCATTCAGCCTTCACCCTTGTTATTGAAATGATAATGAAGAAAGATGTCAAGAGCAGTAGGCTGTGCATGCTGCGGCCAGGTGTGTTAGGAATCCTATTTGCAGTACAGTCTCATTTCGTGAAGACAGCAGGATTTCTGACATGGCCACAGTAAGTGATAAGAAATTCCARAATTTCAGTCTGACCCCTGAGGCCATCCAGATGCTTTTCTGCAGAAAAATTTTTCCAGATGCTACTCCTTAGCAATGATACAGCTGTTTTAAAGCCAAACGTTTTCCCCCTTAAAACATAAAACAAATGATATTTACATTTGAGAATATGTTTTCTTTTTTTTTTTTTTTTGGTAAGAATGAGTACATGGTTTTAGGTATTGGCTACCAGAATTTCTCCCTTCATGGTATATTATCAAAACACAGCTTGAAATCCTCCCTAAAAATGCATGCTCAGACATGAGAAGCCCAGATCATTGCTGAGGAGAGCTCAGCTTTCTTAAGACATAGAAGGTCAACAGGAGTGCAGAGCTGTCTTAGGAGCTGCTCTGCTTCTTAGACTGAGCTAAAAGGAAACAAAGCACTGAGATGCCTTTTCCATAATGGGATAAGTATGTGAATGAAAAATGAAGAGTTGTGTCAAGTATCCTGTGTAAATATTGTCCAATGTCTGACTGTAAATGTTACTGCATTTTCTAGGCATCTAAGAAAAGGCAGGTAAGTATTTAATAAAGAGCTAACATGTTGCACTTGCATAGTAAGTAGTAAACTGCTCAGAGAACTAGCTGAACATATGTTGCGTAGGATTGTCATGATACRGATATTGTTTGTACAGGAACAGAGAATGTACTTGCTAGTTAAAATTTTAAAAGCTGCCCTGAGTATCTGGACATTCTGTACCTGTTTGAAATGGATTTTTGGTATGTAAAGTGTATGTATTAAGTCTGGCACGTCATAGTTYTAGAGAGTCATCCTTTTGCATGCTCTGACCAGCATTTCTCAATCCAGAGAATTTTCACCAGAAATTCTAATAAATGGGTGTAGTTTATATGAAGCTGTAATTACAATGACACTCTAAGTTCTCATAGGYCCTGGTGCCACATGCTTTGCTTTAGTACCTGTCATATTAATCACATGTGCAATTGAAAGTTTTGGAGTTTCAGTGAAGCTTTGTTTTCTCTTTGTGGTTGCCTTTAAATCTTTTACATTTGTTCATTCCTTATTTTGTTCCAGGCATCCATTTAAACTCCTCATTCCACAGAGTTTCCTTCTTCAGGAGACATTTACCATTGTCAAAATACAAAAGCAGTACATTTTGGAGACAAAAGCTTTGATAAATGAGCTGGAGGAATTGGTTCAAACTTTTACACTAGGCTACCAACCTGAAAACCCCTATGTAAGTAATACTTGGTCCCAAAATTTCCTTTAATATGACATACCAAAAAACCAAACAGACAGAAAATTAGTAATTTACTGCACATATCTTATGTTCCTTGCATTTCCTTTCCTTTTAAACACTTGCAGATTTGTGCTGGTTTAGCTCATCCTTATAACTACAGGTGGTTCCCCAAAAATGTTGAAATATGCATTTTAACTCGAAGTCACCAAATGGTGAGTGTATTTCATGTTAAATTTCATTTATAAGAAGAGATTCATTACCAGTCTGTGTAAATTTGCAGTTTACTGTCTTTTCAGACCTCGCTTGCTTGTAGGACTTTAGCTCTTWCCAGGTAAATGTCACAAGCAAAGTTCTCTTTCAATTGATGTTAAGCATTAATAGTATTGTAAGTAGCAAACATTGGAAAAGATTCCAGGATCTGATCCTAACCTGTCTAATCATCTTGCTTACCCAATACAATTATTTGCTTTCTCTGCTTTGCTTTTTTTTTTCATTCTGAGCCACAGTGTAAAAATTCTCAACTGCAAAGGCCTCTCCCATCTGTCATAATACTCAATGCAGTTCACCTACGTTCTTGGCACACAGGTGAAGCAGGAAGTTGAAGCTACCTTGAAAGTCAATAAGGAAGATGTTCTCAGCTTTCTAGGAAGCTACCAGGACAAATCCAGTGAGGCAGATTTCAGGCATCTTTTATATGTGGATGTGACTCATTCATTCCAGGTATTGATGCTGAAACTGGACCTTATTTTAGGATGTACAGAAAAAGAAGTTCTTTCTTTCAGAGAAAGTTTCTGTCTTCATTTATATTGTTTTAATTTTTGTGTCTTGGTGGCTGGTTTTCCGCTTTATGTTTAGAACTGATTCTTCAGTGTTTGCAAACTTTCTTTCCATTTCTTTTAATAAAATCCTYGTGGTAACAAAAGCTCCCACATTATCAATCAAGGCCAAATAACAATCAGTATCAGTACTGTCTTGTAAGAAAAACACTCATCCTTTGTTTTCAGACTTCCTCAGCAGTGACTTGGGTAAACTTTTATGCATGTTTGTTTCTAAACATTACTTACTTTATGCTAAAAGTTCGGATAGCAAATAACACAAAACAACCGATATGAACCCAGTTATTTCTACATTTYTGCTTTGTCAAATAGCTCGAGTTTCCACAAGCAGTGACCCTAAGTGGGGAGCTGTTTTCTGGGCAAACCAAACGGGAAGACTTTGACTACAGTGTGAATGCAAAAGCCATGATCAACAAGAACGATTCCTCACAGGTCAGTTCCCTGATTATTGCGGTTTCATTGCATGGACTTGTCACTTCTGCAGCTCACTCGCTGTTTGGAAGACTCCTGACCATTAGGGYTGAAGTTCTGTTTTGCTTGGAGAGCCAGCATCAAAACCCCATTGCTGAAGATTTGTGTTATGTCTCCTGCTTGCTGTGCACACATTTCACCCTGAAACTTTGTACTGTGAATTACTTTGGGATTGCACTTTCAAGGTGGGAGAACAAATGTGCATATATATATATATATATATATATATATATATATATATATATATACACACACACATACACTAGAAATTTGTTCAGCTTATAGGGAATCCAGTCAGCCACAGTAGAGAGGCCAAAATCATTAGGATGGCAGTTAACTTTTTATGGATGGAGCTTGTTCTCGGTAGATGGCTGTATCCAATGGGAATAGGTGGCTTGTGTTTTGGTTGAAATTCAGAAAACTTTGGAAAAAATCTCTCTGAGATTCAGGTAGATTTATACTTGAAATGCAGTATAGTTTTTCATTTTTGCGGTTTTACATATATTACATTAACTTTTTTTTCAAGTCAGCTGAAAGGTCCTGTGGTAGCAGGTTTTGGGAGGCCTGTTGGCCTCTAGAACCACTTGAGGTAATTCTGAGCCCTATGGTTAGGATGAATATAGAGAGAAAGCCTAGAGCGTCCCATGGGCAGTGGGGATAGAAAGGGCCTSCCAAAGGCAGTATGGGCCTGGGTTGGCCYTAGGACAACACTTGCTGTTCAACAAACGCTAGGCCTGGTGGCTGCAGCCTCCAGACTGATGGTTTTTGATAGAGAAATTGCAATTGTGCTATTCCCAGTTGTGGTACAAGCTCGTGGCTCCAAATAGCTCTGCCAAAGCCAGCCTTTTGTACCAGAACTAGGAGCCTAGTTGTGAAAACGGAGGAAACTGTAACTTCGACAATATTTATTCAGGAAGTTCTTTTTAGGAGCATAGTGCATGAATGATTTGCAAGCAAGGAAAAGAGATCCTGTCTGGGGCAAAAAAGATCAGTTTTATTTTTACTCCTTCTAATTTAAGGAACATGAGAGCCTCCCAAGCCCATCTCTCTCTTTGATCTAACTCCTCAAACTTATGTTTCACTGTTTGCATTATGGTTCCAGATGCTTAATGTCCTGTGTTTGTTTTCTCTGTGCCTAGGTCCAAGCAGCCCTGAAGAGTTACGGTGAGAGCAACCTCAATGGATCTCTTTGCCTTTATTCCAGCGGAAGGGACATGCTAGTGCTGGAGGTTGCTGTGAACAATGAAACGAGGAGGAATGCCAGAGCTGTGGGAGTGAGCGCTTCCCTCCATCATGCAGTGTGGACAGAACCAGAGTCAATGCAGTTCCACTTAAGGGGCAAAATGTTTCCATCGAGGTAGAGAAATTGCAGTCTTGGTTAATAGACGTGAGACGAGAATTGGATCTGTTATATAGTTTAGAAATCCCTTATTCTGCTTCCAAAATACACCCTTTAARTTATTTTAATGTATTCAATCTTCACTGTTTTATAACGCTTTAAACTCTTGTCATATAAATGGAATGTGCCACTTTATAGACTTTGTTCTTACAGTTATGTAGTTCCAAGGCCTCCAGCAAAGGAGACACATGGTCACGAAGTGAAATACAAGAAATTCTATTTAAACATAACAAATAAAACTTTTTTACTGTAGGAGTTGGCCAACAGTAGAACTGGTTGCCCAAAGAGGTTGYGGAGTCTCCATCCTTGTAGGTATTTGAAGCCTGATCAGACAGTCTTGAGTAACTCCCTCTAGCTGACCCTGCTTTGAGCAGGGGGGTTGGACTGGATGATCTCCAGAGGTGTTTTCCTTAGCTGTTCCACATAGAGAAATCATTAGAGTGCATCTGTCATTTCTGGCATCCAGTTTCTGGCTAACAACACATGGCAACAGGGACATGTGCAGAAGAGCCATCCAAACAGATGCCCTCAGGTAGGAAGAATCCCCCTAGAAACTACTCTGGGTTCAGTATAGGCAGAAGCAGGGAGGCACAGATAGGCTGAAATTTTGTCTTCTCGGGGTTCTCTCCAAACAGATGCCCTCAGGTAGGAAGAATCCCCCTAGAAACTACTCTGGGTTCAGTATGGGCAGAAGCAGGGAGGCACAGATAGGCTGAAATTTTGTCTTCTCGGGGTTCTCTCAGCTAAGTGTGCCGGGCTGCTCATCAATAACTTCAGACTATTTAAGCAAAAATCTCCTCCTCAACCTCCTGTACTGATCTCTTGTAAAATCTACTCTTTTTCTCTGTCGAMATACAGAATGTGCACTGAACATTGCCAAACAAATGGCATGGTTTTACTGCAGGTTGTCAGATAGACTAAGATGAATTAAGCACTAAGATGACTTTGCTGACATTTTTTTTGTCTATGTTTTTAGACTTTTGATATCTTCTGAGCTAAAGCTTAATGACAACAGGCTTCATGTGGATTTCATGGGAGCTAGGGAGCAGAAAGTTGGTCTTGTCATTTCCCTAAATGGAAAAATTCGGCACACGTTTACTGAATTAAAGGCTATACCTCGGCTTCTTGCTCTGAATGGATTGCTGAAGCGCAAAAGCGACATACAAGATGGTATTTTATTTATTTATTTAGGAAAAAAGATACTCACTATTACCCTCAATCAAAAAAGCTAAAAAATAAGATACACCTGCAGTGAAAATTGTCATTTACTCAGATGTGTCTTCACTCACCTGATCAACAGTTCATTTTCCATACTAAATGCATCCTTTTGCATTAAATGCACTTCTGTAAGGAATGCACTATGGATAAATGGTGAGTGTCTTTTTTTTCCTGTTCCCACTTCTGGGATGCAGAGGAGCTGCAGACTCGGGCACTCGCCCTTGCACGGGCTGCACGGAGGGGAGGATGTCACTGCAGAGCTCCAGAGGGATTGCGTATCCCGGAGCAATGTAGGGAGCCTTTGTGGAAGGGCGTAATTCCTCTGTAAGCTTGCCTTTAGAAGAAAGTGCACTTGTTTTGGCCTGCAGGCCAGGACTTATTTTGTGAATAAAAAGAAATACTTGCTGTAAATGCTATATATTCCTATGCAGTTTGTTCTCAACACATGCRCTTCTGCTAGTAGATAAACTGTTCTCTTAAGAGCCAATTTTCTATCTGAATTAGGCTAAATTATCTATTGTAATCATTTGAAATGCTTTTGCTTCTTCATCGTATTAAACTAATGATTACTTTGTATGTTGCTCGTAAAATCCTGGTCATTTCCATGCCAAAGGGCTCTCTGCAGTAATCATTTCTGTCTGTTACAGGTAGCATCAGTGTGATGATCAACAATGCACGGTATGGAATTCATCTCAGGAACAGGAAYGTGGTTGGCAATTCCAGCATGCACAGCATCACTTTGGCTGTGTTTCAGAATGGCAGCCAGGCAATACCCATGGAGACAAAGCTGAAAGGACACCTGGAGCTGAGTGAAGAGCTCAAAAGAGGCTTCGCTAGTTTGCTGGTGGATGATGAAGCTCTTTCTGTGGATCTTTCCAGTGTTATGAGCCATGAATGCATCAGGGTCAGTGGGAATTTCACACATAATATCAGCTCGTTAAAAAATGCAGGTATGAAAAAACCTCTGACTTGTTTTACATACGGTGTAGSAGTATAGAGGTGAATTTGTCTGAATGGGTGCAGACCTGTGGAATTTGCATTTGCTTGCACTAGGGCAAAAAGTGATCTGGTCGTAACTTCAGTAACATCCACATTAATATCATCAAGAAAGCACAATAGGATGGATACAGAACTACTGTAAGCTATTTGAAGTGTTTTAAAATAAATGATTTTTCTTATACGTCTTTATCTCTGCATATTGAGCAGTTAGTGCATGCTGATCAGTTTTTCTTAAGCATGTATTTATACCCTTTTTTAGTTCAGACCATAATTGAAAAAAATCTTGAATGTCATTGAATGTATAAATCACTTGGAAGAATTGAATATTCCGAGTGTTGTTTCATAAGCAAAATAAAGAGCTGTTCTGAAGTTACCAGTAATTTTAGATGGGCAAATTGCCTTTATCCCTTTGGACTTAAGTCTGTTTTGAACCTTTCTAATAGCCACTTATTGGCGTTGTACACAATAAACATTGCCATATATTCTTTATTGAGAAAGGAATAATCTTTAACTTCCAAGGTACATATTGTGTTTTAATTTAACAAACACTTAAAGATTTGCATATGGTAGGTAATGTTCTTTGTTCCTATAACTATGCGGCAGATAGTGCTGTCTCCTGTTACAAAAAGTGATAAAAGTTCTCTCTTTAATCTGTAACTTAGCTTTTGTGTATTTTACAGGCAGGGACAGCCCAGTAGTMTCGCTTGTGCTGATGTTGCTTCCTTCCCTGTCATTAGGATTGCCCTTGGAAGGCTTTCTCACTGCCATGTGCAACCGTGTCACAGCGAATCACACCCTTAGGATAGCCCTACGGAGTGGGAGCGAAGGGATTACTGCTGTATTTGAAGGTCAGAGACTGCCTGYAGAGCCTCCTAATTCCCAGCTCTCTGTGAGCTTACAGCACAACATCTCCAAGATAAAGAGCCTTGGGATCCCCTTTATTGTGGCAGCTGCTGGCCATTACCAGGTAAGAAAAGTTCTGCCTGTGATTGATCAAAAATAGTTTTGCTAGAAATTTAACACTTAGGTTATTTCTGTGTGCTGTTAAGCATGGCACTCGCTTCACTCCAAAAGGGGGGCTGCATTTTTGAGATGTGTTAAATTGCTGTGTGAAAGGAAGGTGTCTTCAGGGCTTCTAGTTACACAGCCTGTGTACCAGTCGTCTGAAATCTTGGAGCTGAATCTAGATTAAGTTAGCACAGTCAGTTCAGATTTAGAGGAAGTACCACACCACCTAGGATGGTAGTCCTAGGGATGGTAGTCTTATCCAATCTCATTTTTCCTTTATAAATGGGAAGTAAGTGAGAGAGCCTAATGCATGTAACATGTGTCCATGAGCCTAGGAACTGCATTGCTTCTTATACCTGATTATCTAGTTAGTGTCATCCACCACGCCTGCTAAATAGCCAAGGAAGGTTTAATATGGCTTTCCCYTTGGAAATCTCAAAGCACAGAAACATAATGGATCGTATCTGCTAGTCCAGGGTGGGTACGGAGCATTCAGAAGGTCTATCATGACAGGAAGATCTACCTTTGAAGTGAAGCTGTGTTGAGGAATTTGTGCTTCCCTTTTACCAGTGCAGCTGCTGTGATACAGGCTGTGAGGTTCCAGCACCATCCTTATTTACTGAACCATTTTCTGCYTTTGCTAGCCTGTGATTTTCTGCCTTTACTCTAACTGGGATGTTGTCATTTGTGTCTTTCCCTTGTATGGTTTCTTCTATGCTCAGAATTTCAGCAAAGGGAGTGCTGCAGAAGTAACAACCGTGGTGGAGAAGGAACAGTTCCAAGTCAAAATAGAGAAGAAGGCTACTTTTGGTGCAGTGGAAATTTCCCTTTCACTTCTTCATGATGTGGGAGTCCTGATAAACATTGTCCCGCAGGCTGTCCAGGTTAGCAGAAACCCTGTTACATGCTGTATTTGATGTCACCTTCTGCTGTTCATTCTCAGTTGTTCAAATTAGCATCTTGAGAAAGTGTTAGGAGATCAGAAGGGAGAGATTTTTTTCACAAACAAGACCAACACAAGGTTTTGTGTTAACTGCTTGAAAACCTGCTCTTTAGTGATTAGCGAAACGCAGCAGCTAACAAAACGTACATGGCATGAAATTGCAGGGTGCGTATTCCAAAGGGTGCTTGTCCAGGCATGACAGTGTCCAGCCCCTTTCCACCTTGCTAAAGCGGGGCTTGCAGGTGAGCACCTTAGCTCTTTGTGGGTGCAGTGGTGTGAAATGGAGAGAATGGGAGAAAAAAGGCAGTAGTTTTTGCAGAGCCTCCAGCCACTGCGGACTGTGGCACAAGGCACAGCTGAYGGCTTTTAAAACGCTGAGCAAACTACTTGTGCCAGGGGTGTTTTCCAGGTTGCACATAGGCAGCACCACTGTCTCCTGCCAAGATCAAAAGCCAGAGCATCAAAGTCTGTTTACCAAGTGACAGTTTCCTGCTGTTKGAAAATAGTCTTTTCTTTGTCTTCTCTGGTAATATTTGGGATAATAATGTAAGATTAGAGACATAATTTAGCCTCAGATCTGTTAAATGTTTTATCTTTTGGAGACTAATCTCTGAACTTTAATCTAAAAGCTATGCTTTAATATTTTCCTGCTCTTTCTCTTGAGAGAAGCYATTTAGTTTGGTACTTTGTGTTTTTGTCCCTTCTGATTTTATGCATGTTCTGAATGTGCTATGTTGATATGCCAACAGGTTGCTTGCAGGGGAGAAGCCATCTCCAAACAAATTTCTGGCTTTTGCAGTGGAGACATTGCAAATCATCAGTCTGAGGTATGGACTTTSTTCTTAAACTTTTCTATTAACAGCATACTTACCTTAATTACCACTGAAAAGCGTCACAGACTGACTGCCATTTCCATATGCATTCCAGTGGCACAAGACAGATCCCAGTTTTTTCATGTCATCTGGGTCCAATCTGCATAACTCTGGTCACTCTTGCTGAAGTCTATGGGAAATATAAGGCATTCTMACATGCTATTTTTGTGTATAGTAAAATGATAATAAAAGCAATAGCAGTTGCTTTTTTGTTATTAAAAATTGTTTTAACAGCTGAGGGGGAAGCTGTTATTTTTATTATAGAACTCTGAAAGAAGACCCTGGGCCCTTCTCTCTGTTCCTGTAGGCAATTACTCACATGTAAGACGGATACCAAATGTGTTTTCTCTCTGACAACAGTTTCTCTATAATTTCATAGACTCCGGCGAAAATTTCACTAAATGGGTYGGTGTATACCAGCAACTCTACAGTTGGCTTCTTTGGACGCATTTCTTTAAACGAGATGTTTGCCTGCCTGCAATTCCATGGCACCTTCCACACCCAGGCCAGTCTGGAGCTTGCCTTCAAGCATTCCCTGCCTCCGCTTCAGTCTCTGGGTGTTGCCAGAGAGAACCAAGTGAGGGTGGCAGTCATGAGAAGTGACAGGTATAAAGGCATGATTGACATTGTCCTTGGGCACTGCAGTTTAAAAGCAGATGGAGAAGTGAGCCTGGCAAGCAATGAGACACGTACAGCATGGATGCTTACTCTTCAAAACAAGTGTGGCAGTGTGGAGGTAACAGTTTTGATGGTTTTTTGTATGGTGTTGTAGTCTTCGTATTTTATATCACTATGAGACACAGAGGACTCTATCCTGACACTTGTATTTAGGGGAAGGACAGTTTAGTTGTTAAAGCGGTTCTGCCAGAGCAATGAGTCAAATATTTGCCAAGATATTATATTAAAAATGTAAAGTTGGAGTAACAGAGTGTTACTATTGTTCCATAAAATAGTTGCTTAATCCCAGCTTTTTTAATAAAGTAAACTTTGGTCCTAAAATATAATGAAAAGTGAATCCTTTTGTGTGAAACTTCAGGGATTTYCGTGGGGATTAGGAACTTAATGGTTTTTATTAAAATGTTTTTGGAGGTTTTGTTTTTTCATACCATTATTTTTTGGGATCATTTTTGGGTTCAGAAAGAAGAAATGCTTTATCATTAGTTCAAAAAATGAGGAAAACAATTGCTTTACATTATGTACATTACATAATACAGTCTTTTCTGTTGCAGATGGTGGGACTGCCTCACGCAGTAGCCTTCGAGGGCTCGTTCGAGCAGAACGGCTGCAACATTGGCTTGTTGATGGACCTGCAGTGTGATGGCAGAACAGCTGATGTGCAGCTAGAGGCTTCCTGCGAGCATGAATACACAGTGCAAGGGGTGCTGAGGCATGCAATTCCCTGGCTCCAGGAGCTGGGGCTGCCTTTGGAAAACTCCCTGCTCTTCTCTGCAGCCACAGATGCCAGCGCTGAAAGCATTTTGGTGCTGCAGGCTGGCCCGTGCAGCCTTAAGGCTAGGGGAGATGTCTACATTCAGAGCAAAGCTGAATGGACACTGGAAACAGAAGCAGAGTGTCACCTTCTGCAGGTAAGTATTTAAGGCCTTTTAAGAAAGATTTGGGATCAATGAAGGCCTTCTGGGGATTTAGTTAATGTTKGGGGTTTCACAGTCACTCTATAGACATATGACTTCGAGCAGACAGAATGGATCTTGTGATTCACAGATATTTTGTATGGACTGAGATTAGTTTTAAATTCTTTGCTGCTTGTCACATTGGGAAAGTGRTGTGGTCTGAGTGAAGCAGACACGGTCAATAATTTTTGCCTTTCTGAGAATTACACAGTTTGTATTTTTGTAAATGTAAAAGTTCTTGTACATAAGGAGGTGGTAGATTTGGTGGGCTAGTCCTAAAATCTTCCCTCGGATATTATAGAGCCAAAATTGTCACCTTACTTTTGGGAAGGAGGTAAATGGCAGTGCTGCAGCTGCAGTCTGTCTGTGAATGTAGCATAAAGCCTCATTATTCATATGCTAAAAGGAGAAAAAAAACCCTGTCTTTTCAACCTGTGTGTATAATCTAAATGATTTTTTTTATGTCTCTTGATAGAATCTCGGTGTTCCGGCTCAGTCACGGCTCACAGGGTATATTCAGAAGGAYATCTGCCAAGCAGGGTTCCTGTGTGTCCTTGAAGCGGACGGCAAGGCAGCCCGTCTCGAAGTCAGAGCAGAGTGCGAGCCAAGGACGACCCTGGAAGCTCACTTCAGGCATGAGTTCCCGCAACTGAAAGGAATTCCAAGGGAAAACAAACTGTCTGTCACGGTACAAAAGGAATCAAAGTATCATATTGACATAGGATTGAATTCAGGTGCTTGTGAAGTTCAAATGAATGGGCACTTCTACTGTGAAAAGAAGCTTCAATGGAAAATGTTTATCGAAAACAAATGCCAAAMAATTCAGGTATTTGGAAGAATCTTTTTTTTGTATTCTTGACTTGTTACATCCAATTGTGAACTGGAATCTTACTGTTTCACCTCCTAAAGTCAAAAGAAAGTAGTCTGATTATTTCAGTGGTAGCAGATTTGGATCTTAGAAAAGCAATCTCTTCCTTTTATGATATATCTTATATTTGGAGCCAGCCATTCACTCCTATTTGTGCTGGCAGATATATCAAAAATAGAGACATCTTTAAAATGCAAAAGAGAAAGAATGTAAAAACTTTTAGGAAATCTGAAGTTTTCTGAAACAGTTTGGGCGTGCTRCCTGATATAATGGTTTTATACCAGGTGCTATTATAGCTATTAATTAGGAATACAAAATTTCATGTGTATAACATTTGTGGATAAATATAGAAGGGGATTTCTGTTTTGCCTTTCCATTTCTACAGGATCTTGGAGCACCATTAAAAATTGATGGTTCAGGCTACATTTTGATGGATAAAACAAACCTAGATTCACAGACATTGATGATTGTTGATGAAAATAAATTGCAAGGACTCCTTATACTGAAAGCCACTGAAGTAAGTATATTACAGGTCGTTAAAATGAGTGTACAAAGTGCCAGGTGACACTGTAAGCTGTTCCACTGGGAACAAGTAGACTTTAGTAATAAATGCCAGAATAAAATACAGATCTTTGAGAATTTAACAGTAAAGTAGATGTATAGGAAAACAGGATACAACCTGTGGCACTTCCAGAATCATTCTCTGGTTATATTTTGTGTGTGCATTTAAAAAAAAAAAAAAAATCTACTATTTGGTGTTTATGTTATTTGTTATATATTGTGTGTCATATATAATCTGACATGTAAAAGCAGGAATGCCAGTCTCATTCCAGTTATACTGCAGATCCTGTCTATGTAATGCAATGTCTATATAATGTAGCCCAGTCACCATGAACGTGTACAGCAGTGGCCACAAAGCAAAAAAGATTGTGATTCACACAGTGATTTACAGGGCAAACTTGCAGGCAGTGATTAACAGTGCCGTGCTTCTTCAGCAAGACACCACCACCCCAAAGGCTGCAAGACTCTTGCTTTGCTGACGGTTACAWATTTGCTCCTCTTTTCATCGGTGCAAAAGGGAGGAGTACACATAGAAGCAGCTCCTTCTTACCGAGCRTTCACTTGCTTGCCACAGCTGGTAACGTCTATGTATTTCTGTGCTGTGTTTTTAAACAACAACAAACCCAGCAGAACAGCAGGAGTTCATTACCACCAGAAAGAGATGGTTGCACCTTTTCTTCTTTTAGCTGAAAGATATACTTTGTAGTGTCAGCCCTATGCTTGATTTTTCTCTGCTTTTTTTCCTTACATAACTTCACTAAATTCAGTGTAATTGGATTTAAATGCATTTAATTTAGTTATTTTAAATTTTAGTTGATTAGTTTTATTGTAGGACAGGTGAATTTGCTGAGTTTCTGGTTGAACCGTGTCTGGCTGCAAGCTTTGGGCTCTCCACGCACTTTCTTGTATGTCTTGTGAAATACTAACAGGGAAGACAGGAGTTGGATGCACTGCTAACTCATAACATTCAAGGAGCTGCTGACATGGGCATTCCTGCAAGGACATTAATTGATGTTTCTTCAGAAAGAAACGGGCACCTCTATAAAAGATTTATTCAGTTCTCCGTGAACAACAAGCAGGTAAGTGTCTCCTCTGTGTTAATAAGATGTGCAAGGGAGGTTGGAATGAGCTAGTGGGTTGGAAACTGCTGCTTTTCCATTTGGAATAACTGGTCCTTGCAGAAACTCTCTGTACAGGTGCTGCTTTGCTGTTAAAGGCCTTAGGTAAAGGAATGACAACTGGACTGTGTGCCGGATCCACAGGCCGAGTATAGTACAGCATGAGAGCACTGAAGAAGTGTCTTCAGTGTGGGAATCAGGCAAGAGATCTAATCTATTAATGGCCTGAACCTGTAGAGGAAATTGAATCAAGTCGTGGGCCCAAAATGGTACCCAGTATTGTTAAAAATTGACTTTTTTGGCTTCACTGAGTGTTAGGCTTGCAGACTGCTGAATACCAGCTCCCATGTATTTTCTGGTCACTCTTGCTGCATAATCACTTCTAGCAACAAATCTGATACAAAAATGAYGTGTGATTCCCATTTGTAATTTATCCAACCTGTCTTTTCAAGTGTCTTCACCTAGTGCAGGTTCATAGATGTGTAGTGAGGAACTAACTTTCCTATAGTTACATTTTTGAAGGGTTTTTTTTTTTTTTCAGTAGGACAGAAACAGTAATTGCATTTAATCAGAAAAGTGGCGATCAGAGCTGTGTCACTGTTAAGKTTTGTCATATTTTATTTGGACTAAACAGATCACCGAAGAACTGAGCTTTGTCCAGAACTTGGATGGTGTGTCTCTTAACTACAAACTTACTCATAACATAGAAACACTGAAGGCTTTCCATATAGAAAACAGGATTGAGTTGCAGGTAAGTTACCAAACGATGGCAGAGGAGATGGGCATCCAGGCTGGAATCAAGTCAATAAGGAAGGGGAAACTGCACMAGTTGAATGGCAACAAATAGTGGTCGTAGATGTGACTTTGTAAGTGCTTGCTCTGTGGAGGAAATCGTTGAATTGTGGTCTCATTGTCAAAGGAATAGGATTTTACTCATTCTGTTTTGAACTTCAGCATCTTTTGGATGTTTTCACTTGAGATATGCCAAGGTATGTGTCTATAACTGTGTTATGTTACCAAATGAGACAGGAAAAGTTTTCACCGGACCTTCATTAACAGATCTTTCAGCTGGAACTGTCCAAACCAAAGAAAGAAGCCCAAATAACATGAGCTCTACTTTTTATAAAGATCCCTTTTCACAAATTGTCCTTGTCTCGCATAGGCTGCCTTGGACCTGAAACCAATCAAGCGATTTAGTATTGAAGAGCACTAYGGTGGTTGCCTGGTGGTTCTTGAAGGACAAATCCAGGAGTTTGAAACAACTACAGACATAACTGTGAATTTTCAGCACACATGGCCATGGTTGCTACAAGTCAGAGTGCCACCATCCTTGCAGGTATTACTTTTATTTTAAAAAAAATGTATACACTGCCCTTTATTTATAGTATAACAGCCCATGGCTTGAACAAGGACTACCATTGTGTACTGTACACACTGAAAGATGAGATTTTCTCTAGGAATTTACAAACTGTGGATGGTTAAAATACTATCCACTAAAATAAGAAGAATTTAYTAATTAGCTTATTTCAGAACAAGACCATTCCATTCTGATGAGTGTTAGTATTACCCATATTTCATGAGTAATGTGGCTCCTCTAAGAATACAGTTTCAGTACATTGTATCAGGAACTGGAATATTGTTCCTGTGGTCTTAAAAGGGAATTTTACACTTAAATAAATACTTCCTTAAGTGCTGTCTTCAGGAAAGTATGGAAGTATCTTCAGTAAACATTTGCAGTATGCATGGATCAGAGATGCTTTATATAAGTGTATATTTAGGGTGGTTTTTCTGGGGGAGTGGGAAGAACCTAATGAGAGTTTGACAAAAATCAGCAAGACTAAAGTGATTTGAATTTCATTCACTTGAATGAATGATATAAAGGTTGGATTTTATATCAAATCCATTCACTTGATGGATTTGATATAAAGTTATGATTGAATAATGAAAGGCTAAGTTTTTTTTTTTTGTTAATGCATATGCTGTTTTAGATAGATGTGTGTTTTGAAGGAAGAAACACTACTCAAGAAAGACGTATGCTCATTGCAGCTGGGGAAACATCGGTCACGTACATGATAAACTCTCATTATGTTGGTCACCAAATGGATATTTTTTGCCAAAGTGTTCATAACAGCGAGACATTACAGGCCTCTGGCTACCCTAAGGCAATCAGTGTGAATCTGAACTTACAGAAATTAGGTAAGGACATGCTGTTCTTTGCRCAGTTCCTCTTATGTAATAGCTCTGTGAGGATGTTTTGGCTGTTCCTTTAACAGCTGCAAGCTGATTCACTAAGACTTGTTGGTACTRCCTAAAAAGAAACATTTTTTGTTGTCTGTGAATAAAGTTTTATTCTTAAACTTCATGTATTATTAGTTAGGTGGCATTGTTTTTTTATTCAAGAAAATATTTTATGTGATACAACACCTAGTGWAATAGGTGATCCCGAGGATACTCAGCTGCACGTACTAAGAAACTCTGTGGTTTCTTAGTGGTGGTTCAGCATCACTGAATGTATTTATTACAGAACAYAAAAAGTATGAATCCCAGTGCGAATGTAAATTCAAAGTGACACCGTTCTGTCATTGTTATTTAGAAAACAAAGCCAAGACTATCTGCGAAGTCCGATATGATGACAAAGACATAACCGTGACTATGGATGTTGACACAGACTTTGAACTATATGGGACGTTTGAATTCATGGCAGAGGTGAAGCATTCAGTACCACTCCTCAGTCATCTGGGACTTCCCTTCCTCTTTAAAGTAATAAACCATGGATTTTTGTTGTGCAATAATTCTGCATATTGTAATCCTGGGAAATTACAGCAGGTTTACACAYGTGTCGGTGGGAGGGGATCCGAATCTTTAACCTTAAGTATACAGTTGATGGTTTGTTTCCAGGCATAGTCAGGAAGTACCTGAAATCCCTGTTTTCCCATGATTAATCGTTTCAGGAAAGAGCTCGTTTACTGTGGCTTCTCATGGTCGTTTCCCACCTGGTACAGGTTGCTAGCAAAGTAGAAAGGATTTTTGATAGAAAGCTGTTTTCCTTCGTGTCTTGGTTAAACTGCTTGTAAAATATCTTCCTGAACTTTGGCTTCAATGTCTCTCAATCCATACAGTTTTGGAATACAAATTATTTGTATTTATTAACTATGCAATGAGGTGAACAAAGTCTGTGCCTTTTCATCCCCTCATAGAAATATCATCTTTTCTTGTAATAAGAGGTTTTGTAGCTAGGATACAAGCATAAAAGCTCTTCTGAAGATACATCACTGTGAAGCCTGCATAATATGTGTCAGTTTTTAAAAAAACATTTAATGACAATATTTTATTAGGAAATAATACATATAACTCCTTCTTCTCCCACCTTAATCTTTAGTGAAATGTCTTTTTATCCTCTAAATGCTCCAGTGAGGAAAGGAGACTAAAGATGATGTGCAAAGTATGAACATAATCATAGGGCTTAAGACCACTGTTTCCACTGACTTTGGTAAACACAGGTGTCGATGCCCAGGTCTCAGCCTCCGAGAGGGTTTGTTTAGCAGTTTCAGGATGAAATCTGATGAGGAAGCAGATGTGAAAATACTAGAAGATTTCTGGAGCTCAATCTATTTTCTTTAAAACAAAAAACAAAACAAAACAAAAAAAGGTAGAGAAAAGGTGATTTCAATACAGCATGCAAAAAAAGTAGATAGGATATTAAATGGCTTCTTAATTTAGTGGAGAAGATTCTAGGGACTCTAGACTTAGACTGGAGAAGAGCACATTGACAATGTGGCTAATATTTGACAACTATGTAAATCGTAAATGGAAACACAGAGAACAAGGAAAGGGAGGACATCTGTTGATGCCTTTGGATTAAGTCTGGAAGGCACCTAGGAAGCATGTCTGTCTGGAAGATCAACTCCAGTCAAAATGGTACGTTTTGGTGGATAATTCAACYCCAGTTAACTGAGATGCTGGGTAGAAGCCATGGCCTGTGATGTTTTTCCTCTCCTCAGATGGCAGTTCATGAAGTGCTGACAGAAAATGAAATTACAGGAGCTCTGGAGCTGACAAGTAAAGAAAACACAAGCTTTTTCTTAGCCATCAATAGGAAAAATGATCAGCAARGGTAAGAGGGTCATTTTGGATATTGAACAAATATTGTTAGGCTGCTGGATTCAATGGAAGAAGTTATTGTTCTCTTTGCCAAAGCACTGGTGAATTGGGTCACAAATCCTTGGTTAAGTGCACAGTGGGCACCAAACAGCCTAACCTGGTCYAAGTGCTCAGGGAAGGGACTGCTCTTTGTAAGGCCAGAACCTGTGCTGGGCTTGGGGATTCCTCAGCTGAACTTGTGCAGTCACTGAGAGCCAAGTTTCTGAAACACCAGTGAACAAACACTTTGTTTCTTCCCTTTAGTGAGGAACTGACCATCAAAGCCTTCCAGAACCTTCCCTGCTTTCTACAGTACCTCCCCAGTGCAGCAGGGCTTTCTTTCAAGGTAACTGTGTGCAACTTAGCCATCACATACATCACTAYACCCTAGCCGCAGAGGTGGTAGCTGAGCTGCATTTTATCTCACCTGGGCATCTCTGACCTTGGTGGTGCTGGTGGGGATGTTGGTGCCTTCCAGAGCTACCACCATTCAGAACCTTTTGCAGGGAGGTTGTTCTACTTGCCTCTTGCATCTACAGCGGAAACGAGATCTGTGCGACTCCTTCCAGGGTGGTGTTTAATAATTCTAACTACTGAGATAAGAGAGATTGGGTAGAAGACAGCTCAGGGTCTTGGCTTTGTGCAGTGGAGCCAAGCACCGCACAAAGTGAGCGAGGAAGATAAAGGTTGGATGAGGAAGGTGGGCAGGGTCCCTTGTCGGTCGCACACAGCAGTGTTAGTCCTGCAGTAAGTGCTCACACACACCCACGTTTCTTGTGCTTATTCACCATAGGCTTTTTCATGGTTCTGCCTACAGGGTGCCTCCTACAATGTGAGCATAAAGGAAAATGATAAAGCAGACTTTCTTAGGTCCTGAGAACCACAATATRATACATTACAGCAAAAATACAATGCCAATAATTATGTTTTCTCTCCCCTCTCTCCTCCCTCTTCCTCTCTCCTTTTTAATTAATGGGAACTTCTAAAGGTAAATTACGATGTGAGTGAAGCAGACGGCAAACTCTTCCTCCGGATGGAAAACGAAGATTTCAATTTTACAGCTAAGCTGAGTTTCACTGGGACTAACTATACCAACATCATTGAAATGATGCACACAATACCTCAGGTTGGTACCCTCAGCCCAACTGGCAGTGGTCAAGTCAAGCTGTGGTTGTCCTGTCTCTGGAGGGTGGTATTGCGACGATGACAAATGTTGAAGGTCAAGTCCAGCTCCAACTGCTTTACACATCTTGCCCCTGATTTCTCCTGTAGCAGGAGCAAATTTTTGGCATGTTGATGAGTTGGGTGTCCAACAATGTTTAGCTGTTGTTTGAATGATATTTGTGTACTCTATAGGCAGAGCATTGGATACATAAATATATAGGAAATATTACAGACAAAGCTACTGCCAAACTTGATTAAGCAGTTGCCACACATTTTTCTTTTTACAAATAAGGAAGAGGAAACCATATGTATTATTGTTTACATTATCTGCTGGATTTATTCTTTAAAGCTGGTGCTGTTGATGTCATAAGGAGGATATTATTCAGTAAGCTACGGAAGCAAAATACACAATAAGTGAAACCAAACATTGTAAAGAAAATGTTCTGCCCTCTCTGCTCGTTATGTGAGGACATGACTTTCTGAAGGAATGAAGGCAAAGGGAATGCATGGCTGCTTATGCAAAATCAGTGATTGCAGGCTTTGAGTAGACATTGGGTCTTGTATCACACCTTTTATAAACACTTTCCTATGGACAGAACCCTTGGAGTGCAYGGCAACATATTTACACATTTAAGTGTTAAACTTTTCAGTGAGCTTAGCGTTTAATGTGCTTCCCTTTTTTATTCTCAGTTAAAAAGTCTTCCAAGGCAGCTGGTGCTCATGACAGTTTACCAAAAAAATAATGGAAGCCACAAACTGAGGCACGTAGCTCTCTGGGATGGCAAAGAGGTGAAGGCAACAGGCACTTACACTGGTTTCTTCCCAAAGCTAACTGGAGGCCATAAAGTTAATGGTAAGCTGCTAAAGTCTTTTGCAAGTGTTGAKAGCAGGCTGTAAAATGGACAAAATCACATAAACCTGATTTCAAAAGGCATCTTCGAATGGTGTCAGCCCAGTCCTTACCAGATATAATTTGCCTCAGTTRTGCCTTGCCTTCAGCACAAAGTGAGCAGTCACCCTTACCTTCCTTTTCTCCTTCCAGTGGAGCTTTCCCATCCTCTCTCCATCCCTTTCCCTTGGCACGTCAGGCTTGACGCGTACGTGGAGCATTCGGCACAGAGTCACCAGGATGACCTGACTCTGGTTTGGAACGACAAGCACCAGGTGGGTGCAGCAGCTCAGGGGACACACATGTCAGGAGAATTTTGGGAACTAGCAAATTRTGGCGTTTTTTGGGTTTTGTTTTCCTTTTCTTACAAATAATAAATGAAAGGCATTAAGCAAGTCAAGGAATAAAATAGGAGCCAAAATGTCTTCTCTCTGGAATGTGTAGGATATAATGACAGTAGAAGATAAGCAGTGTGTATCCTTGGTGGAGATATTAAGGGCATAGTATTTTCCATGCATTAACCCCATATGCTGTTGTGTAACCAAATGCAATTAAATATGTATTGTACAAAGCACTGAGTTATGGATATCCCCAACACTGTGAGAGGCTGTGAAACATCCTTTGAGAGTAGATGGAAAGAACAGCATAAAGTTGGGCTCAAAACAGTCAGGGGAAAAAAGTAAAATAAAATTAAAAAAAAAAAAAAAAAGACAAATGAACAAGTTGTAAGGAATTCACAGCAGGATTTTGAATTTCATGAGCTGGCAGGGGATGAAGAGATCCCTCTGATCCGTGACAGGGATGAAGAACTTCTGGCTGCTCTTCACTCCTASCTGCTGAAGTGCCATGCACTGTGCTTACCATTTGCAGCATTACTGATTTAATCAAAGTTCTGTTGTCTTTTGTTTTTTTCTCTTCTTTTTCAGTGAAATAGCACTTTTAGTACAAAAGTGGTGCAACAGATAACTTTTCCTTTTTTAGAAGTAAACAAGCATTATTATTTCAAAATATAACAAAAATGCAGCTAGACTTAGGAAAACTTTGGTTAAAATTAGCTACAAACGTAGTTGAATTAGGGAGCTCACTGACTTGCAACAAATGGTGCCTACTTTAAATAGAAGTCTGAAATGCAGGTGTATGAAGGCTGCTGAAATTTTATTCTTTTCTGAATAAAAGAAAAGGTAGTCCATAAAATACGTTATGCCAGGGAAACGTAAATTTATCTACAAACAGAATCTGAATTCCTTAAACACTTTCTGTTTACAAAGTGCTAAAATTCCTAATTTGACTTYAGTAGTAGTAGTAGTAAACATAAATATGTGTAAATAAATGTCATACATATTAATACATAAATATGTACTACTACTTTAGTAGTAGTAAACGTAAATATTTAGATTAAAATGTCATGGGAAATGACTCAAGGGAGTCATTTCTAGTTGTATATGATGCCTGCCAGCAAAATGACAGAATCTGCCTCAAACTATAGCCACGTAGGAAATTCAGGTAGCAAAAATACCCTTGTTTGAACATTAATTTGTCTGGCTTCTTTAAGAAATTACACCTTTCGGTATATTTTCCAAGGAAAAAATATAGAAAATTCTTGCTGTGTGTCAGTATGTGGGAGGTTTCTCCTGTTCCTGCTGCGTCGGTGTGTTCGGAGCAGGTATCGGCGGCGGCGGCGCTGAGGTTCGGGCGCGAGCGAGTGAGCTGCAGAGCTGCCCTTTCCCTCCCGTTTAACTTCACTCTGCGGCAGCTGGAGGTCCGATCCCTGGCGGAGACACGAGGCAGAAAGTACAACCAGCAGGTGAGATAACGAGGGTGCAAACTACAAACCCGTATTTACTGTATTTCCTGCTGGTGGTGTGGCTTTCATCCCAAGCAGCTGTAGAATTGGGTATCATCTGAAAAATGTGAGAAAAACATCCAAAACACCAGCCTTGTTCCCTTCTCTGAGCACAYGCACGTGCTTTTCTCAAGCGTGACTCTGCACCATTCCCTTTAGCTGATGGCACTTGGCTTGCTTGTCCCCTTCTTCCATGCATTCCCCCTTCCTGAACTTATACATGTTAATCAGATCCCCTCTCAGCCTTCTCTTCTCCAGAGAAAACAGGCCCAGCTCACTCAGTCTCTCCTCGTACGAGAGATGTTCCAGTCCCTTAATCATCTTAGTTGCTCTTTCCCCACTGCATGAAGTCCTTTCTGCTAGTGTGTTCTGCAGGCTCCTGTTTCACCGGAGAAATCCGTCTCTCCTGTGCTAGGTGCAGCTCGTGTGGAACGGCGGGCAGCCCGCTGAGGCCCGCCTGGCCCTGGAGGAGAGGTCSGGGACGAACGTCACCGCGTGGGACGCTTGTGCCACTCTCTGCCCAGGGCAGGTACGGYCCCAGGGCCCCACAAGGACCACGGGGAGCTCGCTTTGCACCCCTCAGGCTCCAAGATTGGCAGCTTTTTCCATCCCTTATCATAGGAAAAGCTTTTCCTTGACAGCTCTTTCACCTGTATTGGAGGAAGAAAGGTAAAACCTCTCTAGAATTCTGCTTCTTGTGGACAGACACATTTGTATTTGGGATTCGGTCCCCACCAGACCGCAATCATCAGCATATCCAGTTTATCTGTAGRGATTGCTGCAGCCTTTCAGCAACCTTTCAGTGGTTCTCCCAGGGATGTATTTTTCCCCAGAAACATGCTCCTCTAAAAACGTTAATACTGAAATAATTAAAGAATAGTAATATGTGTGTCTTTTTTTCACCACCTTCTTTCAGCTCCAGGCAGTACTAAATATGGGGCACTTCARTGCATGTGGGTCCCTAGAGCAAACTGCAGTGTTGTTTAAAGAATATCTAGATCTGAACTGGGATGACAAAAAATTCAAACACAATTTGACTTACGAGGTAAGTAAAGTCCATTTTATTTGCTAATTCACCATACGTTTTTTTACAGAAGCTGCTTTCGATAGATGTGATTTTTTTTTAATATAATTTTTGAATTGATTTCGAGAAGGCTTCTGTAAAGTATCATTTTTTAATGAAATACTGATGAAAGGTTTCGTCTTGCAGATGATCGCCTTTTATGTATGTCTCTTTGCATAGGAAGAAAGCTAAATGTAGAACAAATAAGAGTAAATTTACTTGTTATGACACAACTAAGAGTAAATTTACCTGCTATGAAACAAGTAAATTACTTGTTAGGCCTCATTTTGGCCTAAAATTGGCAAGACTGTTGAGGTGGTTCTGCAGAGTGGGGCCCAGTAACAGTGGCCAAGTAGAAAATGTATTTCAAATCCCAAGACCACAGGGGCCAAGATGAAGTTGAGAGCTGGGGGAGCGGGCAAGGAGGGGTGTCTGTGGGTCTGCTGCCTTGTTTAAACTCTATTTTCTTGGCGTATTGCAGAGAAACGGCTTCTTGTATCCTGATAAGCTTCAGTTAGAAGTCACTTTGGAAAACGTTTTCCTGACTTCGTGCACTACGCAGAATATTCTGGGTAAAATAGAAACAAACTACTCATCCTGGCTGGACTATTACRTAAACTTTGGATCCTGCGACCTTCCAACTGTGAGTCTCTCATGAACCTATTGACTCTGCTTCACATTTAATATAACTACTGTTTTGGAGCCTACTCCAAAAAAGGAGTAGGAAAACCACTGTTTTCCTCAGATGCGACTTTTCACAAGAATTGCCATTCTTCTCTGACTTAAACCATAAATTAATAGTGTCTTTCAGTGGACCAGGGAGCATGGTCATGTTTTTCACTTCACCGTCTCCTCTTTTTCTGTAGGCCCTGTAAACATTCCCACTTCCTCCATGTTCTTTCTTTTTTATTCCTCTCTCAAAGGTCTTCTGATTTCGTGTTTCTGGAGAATACCAGAACAAATTCATGCGTGATTAGAAAAGAAATTAGAGAGGAATAAAAGGGTTTTCCTTCCCTTCTAGGTAAAAATACACTTTTTTGGCCTGCTGTGCTGATAGTCATGGATTTTTGAACTTYAGCCCTCCCATGGGCTTCCTTCTGTGCAAATTTTGACCTGAGAGTTTAATGTAGATAGCGGCAGCCATAAAACTTTGAATTGGTAACCAGCATGGTCTCATTGCAGTTTCCCAATGGGTAAAACATCTAATTTGGGTGTCTTGTTTACTGTCAGAACTGGTTGGGCTGTTAGCAATGGGAAACAGCAATCACATTCTGATGCTGACGACATTTTCTCCAAAAGCAGCGTGTTAGTTAACTGTGTTTAATAGGAAAAATGAATATTCATATCACTTTAAAATCAAGTGCCTCTGTATCCCGTGAATCCTGTTGTACAGAAGCACCCAAACGCTAGCTAGATGGGTTGGGAAGCCTAAGGAAAAATTAAATTGTCTTAATCGAATACAGTTGCAGGTCAGCTGTTCCTCTTGTCTTAGGCTCTAATCACTGACCCTGCCACATTAAACGACAGTGTGTGCTAACAATCTTATAGAGCCTCTTACTGGTTTGTGCAGAACTTGTTTCTGTGGAAGGATTAAGCTTTAGCACCTTTTTTAATCATACTTAGGTAATTGCTTTCTCTGGAAAACATCAGCTCAACAAAGGAGATATTATTTTGCAATCCGAGAGCAGATTCCACCTCGCTGATGGAAGAGATGATGGGCTGATTGGAGTATCCTTCAAAAACAAGAGCACAGCTGATGAGAAGAACTATTACATGGAGATTGAAGTGAGTTTTAATTTTAATTTTACTACCACTTATCTTTCTTTTAAAGACAGATTACCACCTAGTCTCAGAACTGTTCAAATGCAGCCAGCAACTTACTTAGAAAACAGAAGGAAAGCACAGACTACAGAAGGATACATTCTGATTTCTTTAGAGAATTTATTTTTATGTTGTAGACAAAGTGGGATTGAGAGAAAGGAAGGCACCAACGTGAGTTATCTGCAGAAGTCAGTGACAAACACAGTTCGTGTTTATCAGCTGCAGTATGTGCAGTTTTTTCAACAGCTGTTATTGTGGCTCACCTTTTTCGGCAAGACTTCTGAAGCACGTAAAGGCACCACAGCAAAAATAAGGGGAAATAAATAGGGGATTGAAAGAAAATATTCTTTACCAGAGAAAGAACGGGTCATTCTGAGAAGGGCACTGAATGCATGGAGGCAGACTTCTTATTTTGCCCTTGTTCTTAGTTTCCTGTGACACTAATCAGGTAGAGAAGCTGATGGTGGCAGTGAGAGTGGGATGGAAGACAGGAATAAAAAAGAAAGAAGCCAATTTGGGTGATGCCACCCAGATTTAATGAGCGATGTGGGTAGTCGGTCCGAATTGAGAGAGTAGGCTCTCCCTTAAAAATAATTAAATAAAGATTTAGAGAGTTATTCCAGCAGAAGACGCATGCTGAATCTCCCCCCTGTCTCCTTTCAAGGATCGTTGTTACAGACAGAGCCCAGGCTGCTTCACCTGGGCTCCCTTGCT